GTGAACAGTGCCAGAGGTACGCCCCAATGATTAACCAAGCAGGCGAACACCTCTACTCGGTCACCTCCCCTTGTCCGTTCATCAAATGAGGAATGGACATCGCGGGCCCTCTCCCAGCAGGGCGAGGTAATGTACGATTCCTTTTGGTTTTAACTGGTTATTTCTCTAAATGGGTGGAAGCAAGAGCATTCGCCCAAATGCGGGAACATGAGGTAATCACTTTTATATGGAGAAACATCATATGCCGATTCGGCCTACCCAAGGATCAACTGTGATAATGGACCACACTTCACAGGGAAGATAACAGCTGAATTCTTCGAAAAATGACACATCAAGTGAATACTCTCAACCTCATACCACCCAGCGGGTAACGGGAAAGCAAAGTCCTCTAATAAGTCTATACTGGACATCATGAAGAAAAAGCTCGAAGATGCCAACGGACTGTGGCCGAAAATGCTACCAGAAGTATTATGGGCCTATCGAACAACTCCGAAGACTAGAACAGGAGAGACACCATACTCTTTGGTCTATGGGACTGAGGCAGTAATACCAGTCTAGGTCGGAGAACCCAGCATAAGGTACTTCTATGAAAGCAGCATGAGCAACGATGAAAGTAGAAGGCAGGAATTCAACGAAATCAACGAATGAATAGACATGGCCTACATAATAATGGTCGTCCAAAAACAACAAGCATAACGTTATTACAACAAGAAATTAAAGGTTCGACCACTTAAAATCGGGGACTACGTACTGAAATCCAAAACTCAAGTGAGCAAAGATTCCCGAGAAGAAAAGCTGGGAACAAACTGGGATGGTCCGTACAAAATCACAGCCAAAGCGAACAAGGGTTCATTCCAACTAGAGACAATGGAAAGAAAGCTACAACCAAACAACTGGAATATCAGCCACCTCAAATACTTCAATTTCTGAGAGAAAAAGTGTCCCCCAAGTCGTACTCTTTTTTCCCTCACTTGAGTTTTGTCCCATTTGGGTTTTCTCATGGAGATTTTTAACGAGGCGGCGAAGGGAACGCTTCGAGTCAAAGTATGCGAAGGTAAGGGTCGTGGTTACTATTTCATTGCTTGACTTCTCAATACTCTCCAAGTCAACCAATGAAGGGACAAGATAGACTGGGACTGGGACTGAAACGCTAGTCAACACCCAAAAATTTGTAAATTTCTCCAAGTATGTAACCAAAGCAATAAGAAACTTACAATTATAAATACACTTTTTTCGTGTTAAGGGTATGCTCGACCCCACTCGAACAAACACATACCGGCCCTCGACCGCGATATAATGAAAGGTTATGTTCGACCCCACTCGAACAAACACATACCGGCCCTCGACCGCGATATAATGAAAGGTTATGCTCGACCCCGATCGAACAAACACCTAACAGCACTCAGCCACGATATAATGAAAGGTTATGTTCGACCCCACTCGAACAAACACCTACCGGCCCTCGGCCGCGACTTAACGCAAGGTTATGTTCGACTAAGCTCGAACAAACACCTATCGACCCTCAGCCACGATATAATGAAAGGTTATGTTTGACCACACTAGAACAAACACCTACCAGCCCGCCCTCAGCCGCGATTTAACAAAAGATTATGTCCGACCTTGCCCGAACAAATACCTACCGGCCCTCACCCGCGATTTAACGAAAGATTATGTCCGAACTTGCTTGAACAAACACCTATTGGCCCTCGGCCACATCACAACAAAGAAACAAAAATATACACAAGTACAAAAAATAAACCACAGGAAGAGAACAAGATGCAAGAACCAACTTTGATATTTCATATACTTAAAACTGTTTACAATAGGCTCATGGAGACGCTGACAAAAAATACACAAAAAATCAAAAGAGAAAACTACTAGTCACCACCATTACGGCCTTCAACATCCTAGCCAACTTGGCCCTCAACAGCATTGCCACCCTGACCATCAACACCTTCGCCATTGCCACCTTCACCCTCAGGATATGCGACATCATACCAGGCATACTCCTTGATCCGGCCTACACCCTCGTCCTCACCGACCTCAGGCGTGGAAGAATCATACCCACAAGCAACTCGAGCTTCACGAGCCTTAACACAGACATCTTCAAGGACAACCTCAGAAACAGATCCCGCCACATGCAAATCTCGAAAGATATCTAACTGGGCCTCGACGTGGATCCACTCCTCGTATAACTCCCGAGGAACATTAGGAAAATCTAAAGTGCGGGAAGAGGACGGATGTGCCAGTAACTGGGCCTTCTCGGTCTCCAGAACAACAACTCGATGGTAGAGGCCGAATTATCTTTCTCCAACTCTCTAATCCTCTTATCGAGCCGCTCTTCTTTAAGCCTTGCCGTTGTTAAGTCATTTTCTTGCTCGGAGCGGAGAGTCGGAATCACCATTTCAAGAGACTCCGCCTTCTTGAAAGCCTCCGACCGAGTGGACTCCGCCTTCTCTAGCTCCTTCGTCTTCTCGGCGACCTCGCAACTAAGAGCTTACGCCCTGAATTGACACTCCTCAAGCTGGGATCACAGCAAAACCACCTAAGCATGGAGATCACTACACTGGGCTTCAACCCCTTGCTGAGCTCGAGCTATTCCTCCTTGCTCCTCAACGTCCCCTCCAAAACGCTGCACTTCCCCACCATCCGCACTAGCTCCTCGTCCCTCGCCTTTAAGTCGTCCCTCAATTGGCGCACATCACCGCTTTCATGGAGCCAACACCGAAACTCCCGGTACTTTCCAAGGACTCTGAAGTACTTGTCCTTCAACTCCATATAGATATCTTTATGCCTCTGCTCCCTACGAGCACTCTCAATCTCCAGGATGACTGTCTACAAAACGAATAAAATCAGGGCCTACTAAAGGACAAAACTTAAGGAAAATAATGGATAACAAATGTACTTACTCGAAGGGTGAGGCCAGCAATGTAATTCGATAAGCCGCTTCATTTATAGTCTTGAGAGGTATACCCTCAACTTTAGAACTAAAAGGGACAAGGGATGGGATAATCTTCTCGGTATCCACGAGAACATTACAGTCCATCGAGATCGTAATAGTCCTTGACCCCCCCTCCAACCGCACTTTAATCTGAGTGAGCCACTCATCAATTATTCTCAGTTCGTCTATATCTATGTCGGAATCGGATCCAACATCCTCCTCGGCAAAAACCTTCACTCTATCAATAGTCGAAGAAGGTACGTCCGCTGTAACAAGAAGACGATGCCTCTTCGCGTCTTGGAAGAATAGGGCCGCCACTGCCCACCACGTCTTCGACTGCATCCCCCACAGGTCATGTAGCCGTATCCTCCAAACAAATGGCCTCCCGAAGGACAAAACCGTAATCTCCTATATCGACGGCCGCCGATTTCTCTCCCCCGACATCTATGGCCCTCTTTTTATGAGGCATCAAATCTCCATCACCGGACAAAGGTTTGTCATCCTCGTCTATAAGGGAATATAAGGGAGAAGCCGAGGTCTCCGCTGCCGAAGTCTCCACAGACGAAGAAGGGACAAATTTAGGCTCAACAACAGGAGGGACCGGGACAAAAGCAGGATCAGCCGCAGTCGTAGAAGGGATGAGAGTCGAGGACGTAGTAGCTTTCCTCTTCTGGAACGAGGGTGAGGGAGCTCTCGACCTCCTCGAAGACCCCTTGGCCGAAGCTATGCAAACACAAAGAAAGGGATAGGTCGGCAAAGGTTAACAAAAAAAAGAGAAGCTAAGACACCGGTGGTAAAAAAAACTTACCAGTCGAAGGGAGAGCAAGCCCAAACTTCTTGAAAAAATTAGGCCATTCACAAATTCCTATGATGTTAGGGAGGAGCCGATCGACCCAGTCAGAAATGTGAGCGCCCAGAGGAGGAGGCGATGTCTTGGCTGCATGAGAAGAAGACAAGAGGTCAAAACCCGCGACCAAGCATAGGTGAAAAATCGGATACCTACAAACAAGGGAATTAGGTACTTACGAGCATAATTCTAAGTCTCAGGAAAACTGTCAACATTAGCCACTACGTCCTCGGTTCTGATAAAAATATAAGTTGAACCAGAATTAATGGTTGGCTTTTTCGTCCATCTTCACCACCAAGCACTTGCCCCCTCAGTGGCAAAGATTCAACATCGTCCCCCTATAATAGCTAGGGGCGAACAGATGTATTTAGTGCCCAAGTGTCAACTCAACCTCGGATAGCTCGGAAAATTTGGCAAGCATCTTTATAAGCTTGTAAACGTATGGCGCGAGTTGAGTTGGGCAAACGCCGTAATAGCGACATAACTTCTCGACCAATGGTAGGAGAGGAAGGGAATAGCCGATTTGGAAGGGGTAAGCGTAGAAGGCGCAATACCCAGGACTGTGAACCTGTACCGTGTCCCACCCAGTCGGAATTAATTCAATATGATTGGGAATGCCAAACTTAGCCTTAAGCTCTTCCAATTCCTTCACCGTCATCACTGTCATACGCCCAAGTCTCAAATCACAATACGGACCTATCGGAACTGTCAAAATACTGATCCGAATCCGTTTGCTCAAAATGCTGACTAAAGTCAACTCAATTGAGTTTTAAGGCTCTATTTCACATTTTAATCAATTTTTCATATAAAAACTTTTCGAAAAATTATACGGACTGCGCACACATGTCGAGGTATGATAAATAGTGCTTTTGGAGGTCTTAGAACACAGAATTAATTATTAAATTTAAAGATAACCTTTTGGGTCATCACAAAAGCCCAAACATATAAAATGGCAACATAAATCATAAGAATCGTTCTCCTTAAAGCTTAGTATGAATTGTTTCCCGACTAACCTACGAAAAAAATGAAAAGAAACTTTTTTGGAATCAAATATCCGTCAGGCATCTACAATTTGAAACCATATCAGTTCTTGCAAAAACATGTTGCTAGTTGGAAGCTGACATCTAAAGTTCCAATAACAGATGGAAACTCTTAGCAGCACACCTTGTCTTCAGAGGGAAGGCATAAGTCCCAAATGTTTATACACTGCAAATGGTAATATCATAATCAAGTAAAGAATACAAGGGTGAAAAGTACCTACACTCTTCAATGAGTAACTTCACGCCATAGTGATGAAGAAACAACCTCTAACTATAGCTTATTACTTTACTGCAATCTACCAAAAACAAAACAAAAAAAGAACATTGACGCCTCAACAGTTAGCACATACATAAAAGATTCACTGTCTGAGTAAATTATGCCTTCAGTGGAGCCTTCTTTTCTCGGTCAGATATCCGAGCAGGAGCATTAGAATGCGTTTTGAACCGGCCTTTACCTCCTTCCTTCTCCTGCACAACACAAACACAATGTTTTGAATGTCTCCAGCGTGTCATCATAGAGGCACATTGTGAGATGACACTCAAGGGAAGCTAAAAAGCTCAAGAAATCCCACTACAAGTTTTGCATATACTTTGTGATAAGTTGCTGATTTTAGCAGGAAAAGAAGCTTGGTTGCTTGCTGAGATATTGACAGAATAGTCAAGGCACAAATTGAACTATACAAGAAAAGAAAAATAGCAAACACGTTGCCCTAAGAAATGTAAAAATAATTGTGTCTGAAGATCAAAGATATGTGGAGTTTGAGAAACAACTGCTATGAAGCAAGAAGTGGCACGGCTGATATTAATGTAATAGTTAGTATACGTTGAAAGCCCATAACCGAAACTAGCCACCTTTTTCTTGACAATCTGAACCACGTCTTCATCCTGAAGCAGATGACTGAGGCCACAATGCTGAGGGCCGTGGACTTGTGGCCCAAACCAAGACATACTTCACATCCTTAACAAGACTCCTATGTATGTGATTACAGAAATCTTCGACAATACAGCCACCTCTGTTCTGAAATCATAAAAACATGATAAGAAAATCTAAAAGTAAAGTAGGGAGACAAGAAAGAAGGGGGCAGAGGGAATCTGTTCAAAGAACTTTCTTCAACATAACAAACTGCCCCAACCTAAAGACCAGAAGTGACATAAGACATACAGCAGAAAGAACCATAGGCTCTTCGAAATCTGGTTGCTCGTCTTGAGGCTTCGCATAAACTATGCAAAGACCCATCTCTTCCCACATTTTAGCTAGTAGTCTGTCCAGATTCAGCTGCTTCAAAATCGACAGCAAAGTCAATTATATAGACAAGGCAATGAATGAGAAGTGTTCTAAAAAGCATGTCAGCAAGCAAGGATAGTTTGACCAATTCCAACACAAGCAACAGTGCATTCACATGTATCTAGGGATTCACATCCACCAGTCTCCAATTTCCCTGTATACATTCAAGCAAAATGCAAAGGAAAATGAAGTAAATACAATTATGACCCCAGAGAACATATTCAAAATGAAGAAACCCAACTTGGAAGGATCTTTGCGATCCTGGAAAAGTAAGGCTCTTGCTATCTAGAGAAGGACAAGCTGCACGAGAGATAAGACTTCTTAATAAAGCAAGGCCTTGGAAGTCATCTAGAATCATACAAAAAGAAAGGACTTCTCTGGGTTTCCCAGAGAGCACATATCTGCAACTTCATGTAATGTATATTGTCACAGCCAACTGTATTTATTGGACAAGCCCAAAAAATGCACATCCATAATGTTTAAATATGTTCTTCATTTCAGAACCAATAAATATCAGTTCGCAGATGCAGAAAAAGCAGTAAATTTCAAATCTAGCACCTTGCTAACAAATTAGACTAGATCAGCAAGCTTTCTAGTCCATCAACAATCTTGCTATATCCATAGATGTTATTTTTTTAATTATTCAAATAACTATTACACATTATGAAATACCTTCAAGTTGCAGCTGATAACAATGGAATTTGGTTGTCAGGCTAATCTGTCCACATCATCAATACCTACAACATCTATCTTGTTGTAGACATATATACACTTCATGTATTTACGATTCCCTCAATAACATCAATAAGGTCATCAACTGTAGCATCTTCATGAAATCAAACGTAACAAGGTGAGCAACAACAACTGTAAAGGTTAAAAGAGTTTTTGCACATATAAAAGAGGAAGAGGCAGATGTAAATTTTCAAACAGGAATTCAAAAAATGTTAGTAGAATCAACACTTTTGTTGGTGAGAAAATACAAGTTCCCACATGCTGTTTGGAAACTTATTAGGCTAACTGGGCAAAATACCTCAGCATTGTGTATCCTGTATTCATGAAGAATTTGATAGCAGAACTTCTCATCAATATGTGTCAATAGCAAAGTGCTGTTGAAAGAAATTCCCCAAGTCTTTTTCTTCTTGAAGTATATCTGCAAACATTTGATAATGTAAGTTAAAATCCAGAGTTTGAAGAAGTCAAATCTGAGGGGAATATACTGCCAACGAATGCAACAACAACAACAACCCAGTAAAATCCCACTAATGGGGTCTGGGGAGGGTAGTGTGTACGCAGACCTTACCCCTACCCCGAAGGAGTAGAGAGGCTGTTTCCGAAAGACCCTCGGCTCAAAAAAATAAAAAGACAAAAGGACAAAAAGGGAGACAATATTAGTATCACAACAACAATCATAGGATAAATAGGAGCACCATGAAATTAAGAAGAAAGATGCAAAGCAAAGGGAGACAATATTAGTAAATATTAGTATTACCACAACAGTCATACTGCCAACGAATGCATGGAGCTAAAATTACACTATAAAGGAAAAGAAAGAGACTTTCCAGACAGATTATTCTGATAAAGAAACATTTTCAAACAACTTTTCAACCACTGAGCCTAAGTAATCCTCTGTATCACATGAGAAACAAAAAGCAATGCAAATTAACTTGTAAAAATTATCAGAACCATGAGAAATCTCAGTTGAAGCTTTCATTATCCAGCTAGGGCAGACATAAATCATTTCACAGGTTGAATTCTGATAATTAAACAGAACTGGTGATCGTTCAATTTAGGAGTTACTTTCAGAATGCAACACACCGTGCATTGACACTGTAACAACAGGAATTTAATAAAATCAAAGCTTCAATCAGAAAACTACGAGCTAAAGCAATAAGTGAAAACTCATACAAAAGTAAAATGAAATAAAATTACGAGCATAGAATCTATAAGAGCTAATCGGCGTATACCTGAACGAGGAGAAGAGGTAGTATACTCTGGCGAACGTAACGGAGACTATATGCGGTGTCGCGGCGGCTCCTGTGTAAGGAGAAGATCGAGTATGCTCTGAGTAGAAGAACGATAGTGAAGAAACAAGGGGGCGCAATTAAGTGGGTTAAAGTGAAGAGTTCTTCAACTTAGAGCACCTGGTTTTAATTTTGATAATTACATTACATGACCAGGTATAGTTTTGTGAGTCACTAATGCCCTCTGCATATGGTTTAGTTTCAAATAAGGACATTTAAAAGTGTGAAATAATAAAATTTAGCCCCTTTAATAGGAACAAAACTGAACACACTCAGTGTTTTAAAAGGTATGGGCGTAAGGCGACACGTTTTACATATGGCTCAGCGAGGCGTAAGCCCCGAGGTGTAAGCCCCATAGGTATTTAATTTTTAATATTTTATAAAATAATATAATGATAGTAAATATTTATAAACAGATAAAATTGCATAAAAATTATATATATATATATATATATATATATATATATATATATAGAGCATGATTTTTAATTATAACTAATGCAAACAAATCACGTATAACGTCTTTAACTTTCATATAGCTAAAAACTTACAATTTCTTTAAAAAAAAATGATCAAACTCCACATTTTACCTTCCTAAAAGTAAATAATTAATAAAATCTTATTAGTACGATAATTAAAATATTACTCCTTCATGAATAAATACAAATTAGTTTAAGATATCAAATTAATAAAAGTGTATAACAAGGAAGTACAAATGAACTAAGACACGACCAATAACAAGTGAAGATATAAATTCGCAATACTTTATCTCATTATTAGAGTTATGCTCAATCTTCATATTTCTATTGATGAATAGAACTTTTATCATTAATTTGAACGATATTAATTAGGAAATTCGACACGTGATTTGCGTTAGAACTGTTAGGCGAGCCTCGAGCGTTGGACGTTAGGCGTATTTAGGGCGCACGGTCGGGCACTTGGTGCGTAAGTCTCACTAAATCTCATACATGAGCCTCAGGGCATTTTGCAAGTGCCCCGCTCAGGGGCGAGCCCCGGGCGAGTCCCAGAAATGCCTTTTAAAACACTGAACACACTACAATTAGCTTTTAATCTTGTTATGCAAAATACATTACATTTTCAAGATAAAAAGTTAAACTCGGAATTTAGTTAACTAAAATTGTGTACGGTATTAAATGTTAGATAATATAAAGAGTTTTTAGTTTTTATTAAATAATAGTGTAAAAATATGTACATTATCTAGACACCCAAAAACTAATGACTAATTACACGTAATATGCGTGGAGGACTTACTGAAGTCCTTATAACCTGAAAAATCAAGTAAATCTATATATATATATATATATATATATACACAATATATGTTGAATTCTTTTGATTTTATTGTGTATTACTCATTTATATTTTGACTCTCCTTATTAAAAAATTTGGCTCTGTAAGTTCCTCATTTATAGGCAAAATCATTTTTATTCGCTACCATCTCAACTCTTAGGACCGTTAACCGAAATTATCGCCAAATAAAATTTATGATTGTATTTACAGAAAAGGTCCAAATATGCCCTTATACTATACGAAATTGAGCACATTTGTTCTTCATTAATACTTTAGCTCAAATATGCCCTTACCGTCACATAGTTGGTCCATATATGCCTTAGAGTTACACAATTGGCCCATATATGCCCTTTTCAAAACAGAATACACCCAAACTAATTATCTCTTTCGTTAATTGTATTAAAGTGTATTACAAACACTATTTTCTTATTATTAGTACTTTTTTTTCTTTACCTTTCTCTTTTCTTTCTTCTTTTTTCTTTTCTTCTCTTTTGTTTTTCCTTTTTCTTTCTCCCTTATTCGATTTCCTCCATTAATGATGTCTTCTCCATTTTCATCACCAATTTCACTTGACAAAACTCATGAATTCCAATTACTAAGAAAATTCTCCCATAAGAATATTTTTATAGATCATATATTTATCAATTTTTTAAAAAATTTAACAAAGTAAGATTGAAATAATATTTATGTAATAAAAAATCCGAAAATCCAACAAAACCGAACAATCTAAACCGATATAATTGGTTTGGTTTGATTTTGATAAAAATCGAACCAACCCGTTCCATGTACACCCCTAATCTACATAGTTAATAAAAAAAATTAGGAAATGTTCAGCTGAAAAAAGACTAACAATTCAAATTTATAACACTACAACTTGAACTCTAGGCTTTTAATCATTAAATTATCTTTCTGGAAATAATTTAAATATTTTGATCTTTTGAGTATTGTTAAAGGTTGAGATATTTTTATTATTTTAAAGTTTAAACCATAATTTTTGGAACAATTTAATTCCATTTATTTAGAGGGCCAGTGAAATTGGAACTTGATTAACTTATGGGAGAATTTTCTTAGTAATTAAAATTCATGAGTTTTGTCAAGTGAAATTGATGATGAAAATGGAGAAGACATCATTAATGGAGGAAATCGGATAAGGGAGAAAGAAAAAGGAAAAAAAAGAGAAGAAAAGAAAAAAGAAGAAAGAAAAGAGAAAGGTAAAGAAAAAAAAGGTAAAGAAAAAAAAGGTACTAATAATAAGGAAATAGTGTTTGTAATACACTTTAATACAATTAAAGAAAGAGCTAATTAGTTTGGATGAATTTCGTTTCGAAAAGGGCATATATGGGCCAACTGTGTAATTTTAAGGGCATACATGGACCAACTATGTGACGGTAAGGGCATATTTGAGCTAAAATATTAACGAAGGGCAAATGTGCTCAAATTCGTATAGTATAAGGGCATATTTGGACCTTTGCCCTTGTATTTATCTCATGTTGCGTAGAGAAGGTAGAATAGGTAATCTCATAATATATTCCAACTCATGGAATATCCTAGTTTATCTCACAATTGAATCAAACGAGGCCTTAACTTCATATCAGTATTCAATTAATACTAAGACATTATTTTTAATATTACTACAATGATATTTAATCAAAATACTATCCAATTGCCAATACTATTATCAATCTTCAACAAATACTTATTTTGTTACGAAAAGTAATTTCTACTCGCCAAGTCATAAAAACTGAAAACTATTTTTCAAAATAGATTTCTATTTTATGAAAACATTTTTTCCTCTTTTGATAAAATGACTTAAAATCAGTTAATTTTCTAAGAAAAGAGGTAGCTGATTGATAACAGAAACCAACCGTTTGGAGCTCTATGGCCAGTTCAGCTTTATCTCTTTCTGTGCATCAACCCAATTCCCAATTCTTCTCTCCATGTCTACAATGCTGCAAAATTTGGAAAAACAATCCCTCTTCTTTCTTTTTCTCAGATGGAGATTATAAGCGTTCTGTCACTTGCTTTTCTTCCAAGAAAAAAATAGGTTTTATGGACCAAATTCTTGATTACATTGAAGGTTCGTTTTCGTTTTTATTTCCTTTACTTCCATACTTTTTAATTGAACATTAATTATTCTTTCACCTAGTAACTTGTATAAAAATTCAACAACTACTACTACTCAATTCTAAACTAGCTGGACTTAATCGGCTTGTTAAATATTCAGTATCCGTTTTGTTCTATTTTGAAGATTCTTGCTTTCAACTAGCAGCTTGTACTTGACTGAATTTGGTAAATTTTATGCTGAAGCTAGATTTTTTTCTAAAATTTTTCTGTTGGGGGTGTGGTCACTTGGGGTAGAGACTAGAGAGCCGGTGAAGGGAAAGATTTGGGAATCAACATTGCATAAGGTATAGCTGAGCTACCGCTTAATTCTCAATTGAAATTGTTGTTCAGTCTATATTTGCAGTTAATTGAATGCTGCAAAGATATCTGAAAGTTGCATTCTTTGTGTTATGATGTCGCAAAATATTTGCTTGGACGGGCGTGGCAGGCCACTATGGCACGACGTCGGCCGTGGGAGGTCATTATGGGCCGAAGCCGGCTGTGGCATGCCTATGTCAATGGTACGAAGTCGGGCGTGGCAGGCCACTATGGCATGAGTCGGGCGTGGCGGCCACTATGGGCCGTGGCAGGCCGCTATGGCACGATTTCGGCTGTGCCAGGCATCTATGGCACAACGGTGGCTTAAGTAAGAGCCTAGGAGGTACGGCTTAATCCAATAGATTCTTTCTCCCTAGATCTATAGTCATGTTGTTCCTAGAAGCCTGATTTATTTGGTTCAACCGTACCTAGTATTTTCGAGACGTGGTGTAGATACATAAATAAAATTCCAAATCCATAATTTTTGAAAGTGCAGTGGATTCAATGGTAGGAACTTAAAGTTTGAACCCTGAAGTTCAAATTTTGGATCTACCTCTGCTTAGAGGAGGTGTTGGCTGATTGATATTGTAGTAGCAGTTTATGTTAAGCTGAGTGCAGATGAAGGTCAAGCACAGTGGCATAGCTACATACAATGAAAGATGGTCAGTTGAATATCCTTCATCGAAAAATTATACTGTGTATATAAAAAATTATACTACGTATATAAATCAAAATTGCTTTTTATACTCGTATATTAAATCTTGAACATCCTTAGCAAAATTCCTGGCTTCGCCACTGGTCAAGCATATAAGCAGTGGGTGCACCTAGCATATAAGCAGTGGGTGCACCTAGCATCCACTTCTGTATATAAAAGACCCAAAGAGAAGTTCTATAAAGGGGTGCATCCATTGCGTTTAAATTCTAGATCTACCTCTAGCTGCGAGATAGCTTTATTCTTTCTATATGAAATATGGATGACAAACAGGAAGTGCTCTGGTTGAACTTTGAAACCAAAGGTTTTAGGACAGAAAACAGCCTCTCTAAAATTCCCCAGTTTATGATTTATATAGCTCTCGTTTTCTAGATTCTGTAATAGTGAAAACTTAATTTTTCTTGCCTGAAGGACTCAGTATATCAGTATCTTTGGTACACCACAAAACGCTTGGTGCATGACTGCATGGTCCGTTGCATTATCATGCTGTGTTCAGCTCGTCTTTGTGTTTTAAACTCCTGATAAGTATCTGCATCTTTTTTCTCGACGGAAATTTATGACCTCCCCGTATCAAATCTCTACTGGCTGATGATGACAAGTCATAGTTTCATCATTGGTTTTGCTCCAAGATTGTAAATATTGTTACTATCATGTATATTCATGATTTCAGTGCAAAAAAGGTAAGGAGTCCAAAACACGGAGAGTTTAAATGCTTATTACGCCAATCCCTTCCAACTAGAATTATGTGATATGATGTAATCTAATCCATCTCAAAGTCTGCTGATCGAACAGATTTCCTTTATTGTTTACATTCTCCTTCACGCATGCCATTGATTTCAGGGGGTCCGAAGCTAAGGAAATGGTATGGGGCACCTGACCTCCTTCCAAAAGATGGATCCATTTCAGAAGAAAATGCGTCTTCTGGTAGCTACATTTAGTAATATTTTCCATATGAGTCTCTCTAAGGTATCATATCAACATTGCGTTTTTTTTTAAAAAAACAGAAGAAGATGAAGTCAGGGATGCAGTTTTAGTTACCGATGGAGATAATGAGATTGGTCAGGTTCGTATATGGTAGCATCAGATACCGTGCACTACAACTGTATAACTATCTTGTTTACAATAAGCAATGTGCAAGCAGAGGACATAATTCAGTTTTCTTTAAAATCTCACCTCAGTGATTCAGCATGTTGCTCAATCTCTAATCAGTCTCATCCTATGTCAACTTTACTTATACATGATCTTGGACAGATGGTTATATTATCTTTGATAATCAAACGAGCTCGGATCAAAGCTCTGGTAAAGGATAAGCGGGTTGCCATGGAAGCTTTTGGTACTTATGTTGAGGTTGGTGGCATCTTGATGCATTTTGTAGTATTATAGACTTGGTAGTATTTTAATACTTAATGTTCCTAAGCTGTTATGAAGCCAATAGCAGGTGATACAAAGGACAGGTCATTGCTAAAGAAGGCTTTAAGTGGTGTTCGTGCAGTGATATGCCCAAATGTATGCTCGTCCTTATCATCTCCACTGTCATTCTTTTAGTATGATCCCCACCAAAAACATTTACACAGAAACAATAATGGGATTGTCACACAAATAGCCGGTCAGATTTAATGTTTACTTTTTCTAGCCGGTATACATAGATTATATATTGATTATATACAGTTATACATATATTATATATGTATTATACATATATTATATATGTGTTATACATATATATTATACAACTGCCGGCTATTTTTAGTTTAGGAGATTAGGTGGACGGCTATTTGGATTAATTCTTCAACAATAATGATTAGCATTTAAGTCTTGCATACAGATCTATAATTCACCTGCTTTACTTCCTCACTTATGCTTCTGGTGTTTGGATTTATCTTGTAAATTTTGTTCCTTCTTGTTCTTCTTAATCTATATAGCTACTTTCTTTCTACAAATAGTAGCTTAGAAGCTCTCTTATGTCTAATGTTGCATTTGTAGGAAGGTTTTATATCAGATATAGAGAGTTGGAAAGGTTTACAACATGTGATCCTATTATCTCAGGTAATCTTCTCTCATTTATGTCTAGGCAATGGCAATTTCCCAGTGGTTTACGTTTTGATTTTATGATACGATGACGTTGCAGCTGTCTGTTTATAGAGGTTCTAGTGGGGTTCAAGCAATTGTTACTGCCAATGCAAGGAAACTGGCAGAACAAGATGAATCACTGGTTATGGCTTCGGGTGTCCCTTACACTATTATTAGAGCTGGCTTATTAGTAAATGCACCGGGTGGAAATCAAGGTTTTAACTTTAAAGAGGTAATTGTTGTTTGTGTTGCTTATTTATTAGGTAGATGGTGTCAAACTCGCCATATGTAGTCATTGGCTCTATCCAGATAAGCATCAAATCGTACATTTTTTCCCAAGGTTGAAAGCCACCAGCAAGACAAGACTGGGTTGCTCTAGTGGTAAGCACCCCCCACTTCCAACCAAGAGGTTGTGAGTTCGAGTCACTCCAAGAGCAAGGTGGGGAGTTCTTGGAGGGAGGGAGCCGAGGGTCTATCGGAAACAGCCTCTCTACCTCAGGGTAGGGGTAAGGTCTGCGTACACACTACCCTCCCCAAACCCCACTAGTGGGATTATACTGGGTTGTTGTTGTTGTTGAAAGCCACCAGCAAGACAAGACTGGGTTGCTCTAGTGGTAAGCACCCCCCACTTCCAACCAAGAGGTTGTGAGTTCGAGTCACTCCAAGAGCAAGGTGGGGAGTTCTTGGAGGGAGGGAGCCGAGGGTCTATCGGAAACAGCCTCTCTACCTCAGGGTAGGGGTAAGGTCTGCGTACACACTACCCTCCCCAAACCCCACTAGTGGGATTATACTGGGTTGTTGTTGTTGTTGAAAGCCACCAGCAAATGCACTCTAAGTTCTCCTTCTCTTTTCGAGCAAAGAAAATCAAAATTATTCACAAATTGAAGAGAATACCAATTTTTCATTGTTCATGCCAAGAAAATTCCCTACAGTTGCTACTCAGGACAGTATTTCCTTCAAACACGAAGTACTGTGCCCATCAGACAGATGATGACCTAATAGCTAAAGTTTTGCTAAAGACTCCTGCATAGCCATATTTGCCAGTTACCGCCGTTCCAACATTGCTATAACATAGTATCTTATAGGAGATACTTAGCATTTGAGATGTCTTCAGTTCTGGCACTAGAGAAAATAAGAATAGAACGTTGGAATTCCTTGCATGAAATGTATGATGGAATATGTTTTCAGTAAATGGTTTCCTATGTTTCCGAGTAATTTGGCTTGCTATTTTCATGCACTTAAAATCATTCTCAAGGAGGGTGGTTCATTAAATCAACTAGTGACGTTCTTCATTCCAGGGATGTGCATCACAAGGAAAGCTGAGCAAGGAGGATGCTGCTTTCATCTGTGTAGAGGCCCTTGACACAGTACCACAGACAGGACTGATATTTGAGGTTTGTTTGAGGCATGCTACTTGAATGACCTTTACTATTTAAAATATTCTGTAGCTGCACATTAAATAAATGTTTTAGGTAGGTCAATGACTTATAACTCTACTCTTGACGGCAAGAGAGGGTTGGCCTAGTTGAGAGGATCCTCCACCTCCAACCATGAGGTTAGGGATTCGTGTCACCGGGGAAGAAGAGTTAGTGGTACGGCGTTTACCATATTAAAGGGCAGCCCGGTGCACTAAGCTCCCGCTATGCGCAGGGTCGGGGGAAGGGCTGGACCACAAGGGTCCCTGCATTTCTGCAAGAGGTTGTTTCCACGGCTCGAACCCGTGACCTCCTGGCCACATGGCAGCAACGTTACCAGTTACGCCAAGACTCCCTTCGGCGTTTGCATATTACAAAAAGAAAAAGAAACTACTTATTTATGAAAGCATGCATACTAGAAAAAAAGAAAAATAAATAGGAAAAGCATATAAACCTGAAAGCTAGGAGTCTTCCTATGCATAGATGTGCTGCTAAAGGTCTTTTGAGCTGGTATTAGCTGATGCTAATGCTGCTTTGCTAACTGCAATCATCCATTGTTGATAAGTTGTATTGGAAAAAGTAGTCAATCCACTGCGTGTCTATTTGGAGCTTTTCACAGTCAAAGTCAAACGTTTGTTGAATCACGTCTACCGGAAAAAGAACCAACATTTTTAGTTTTTGCCTTATATCCCATAGTTCTATTGGAAACAACCACTCTACCTTCATTGGATAGAGGTAAGGTCTGCGTATACACTACTCTCACCAGACCCCACCTGGGGGAATATAATGGGCTTGTTGTTGTTGTTGTTGCCTTAAATCTCACAATATCCTTTGATGCTCAGAGAGGCGAGCTTCGCTATAATGGAACATTTTCCTGCTGTACTATTTGATATGTCTGACTTAATTTGTTGTCAATGCACTTTCTTTTTCCATTGGTCTTGCTGTTAAATAGTTAACATCTCAGTATGTGGACTTTCAGGTGGTCAATGGTGAGGACAAGGTCATGGATTGGAAAGAGTGCTTCGCAACCTTGATAGAGAAATCGGAGCTGTAATTTGTTTGGATCCAAAATTGGTACATTCTTTTTTCTTGACTACAATGTACACATTATCATGTTTGAGATAATTCATCATAATATAATGAAGCTGAAATTTTCGATTCACCTTCCCATGGTTTCTGATATGCACATTGATTATGTTCTGCGCGTAACCTATGCTTAAAAGGGCATCAGAAGTACCAGTTTTAAAGAATTATAGAAGGAAAAGGTTGTGGCGAGGAGTAAATTCTTATCATCCCATAAAGTGTAAATTCTATTATCACACAAAAGGTTAAGAACCAGATTTAACTACAACAACAACAACCCAGTGGATTCCCACAAGTGAGGTCTGGGAGAGTAGAATGTACACAACCTTACCCCTATCCTAGAAGGGCAGAGAGGTTGTTTCCGATAGACCCTCAGCTAAAGAAAAGATGACAGATTTAACTGAAATACAAAATGAGAAACTTTACTGATAGATATACAAGGAGAAAACTACAAATCCGCAACAAAGAATTTGAATCCAATTCCATAAGCAGATAGAAAAAGCTACAATGGAGCACTTAACCACAGAGTATTAGTTTCAAAATGTCACGGCCATTAGCCTAGAACTGATACCAATGATCAACGGATTTTTCACCTACACTGAGAAACAATAGGGTCAGCTACAAGAATCCTCTGTATCCATCCCATTCTACTCAAACCTAGTTAAAAAGAGAAAGCTGATCGACTGAGAAACAACGAAAAGAGAGCTGAACTCCAATACGATCAGTCAACTGGACCTAATTCTCTTCTGACCGCCTCTTCCATCTGACTGATTAGCATTTGTTGATTCACCTTCGGAGAAAGCCTCCATAGATATTGTCACAGAACTGGAGAGATCAGCATAGAGATCCACTACTCTTCTGATATTGTTATTTAGCTCTCTAATTAGACCCACGTTTCGAGTCAAGTTATCTGGGATTGTAGATTCATGGTTTTGGTTGATCTCATTGATTAACAACCTGTTTTGATCCAAAATGTTTTGCACTTGCACAAAATTCTTTTGCAATGTCTGAAGTACTTTGCGGTCTACTTGAATTCCATTGCCAATGCACGAGAATATATCATCTTCCATTTCAATTATCACTGAAAAAAATCAGAAAGAGCTCTCAAATACTGCAAATAGAAACATAAAGTAATCTCAGACAAAAAGGTTAAAATTATAAGCCAAAAATGCATAAGTTTGATTGAATTAAAATAAACTTGAAAAGGATGAACTTCCAGTTTCCGAAACAACAACATTTCTAGTTCAGGGTGATAAATCAAAGGGATCTTTACACAAATAGCTGGCCGAATTTACTGTTTACTTTTTCTAGCCGTATATTATACACTGATTATACACGGTTACACACATATTATACATGAATTATACATATGTTATACATCCCTGACTATTTTTAGTTTAAGCGGTTATTTAGGTTAATTTTTCTAAATCAAAAGCTATCAAATAACAGTTTTAAATAGTAAACAATTCACAGTATTTTATTTGGAGTTAATTATGTGACCATCTTATCTAAAATGCTTGGTTAAAACACTAATTATCTGATTATGTCTTCTCCTCAGCGGTAATATACCCCTCACATTTCATAATGAGGATGACTAGTGAGAGTTGAAAGAATTTGAACATCCAATTCAAAGCTTTAAAGCAATGAATGGAATAAACCTTTATATACCCCTTATACCCAATTCATATAGGACAAGACAAGGATAAAATTTCAAAATTTATTTCGGAAAAGGAGGTCAAAGTAAGATGAACATGTAGGGGAAGGGAAGAAATCACTGAATTAGAAAATTTTACACAGATTCATAGAATAAGAAAACGCGTGTATAACCCCAGAAACACCAACAGAGAAATATAACTGGAAATTTTCCGACAAATGTTTGAGGAGGAGCGGAGAGGAGAGGAGAGGATTACCTTAAAATTGTAGCACACTCTTTACAGGTGAAGTATGGGAAATCACGACCAGAGTATGAAGAGCTAGATTACCTCAATAGTATGTTCTCAGGCTGCGGTCTTCTCTCTTGGGTTTCAGAATGTAGTAAATCCGAATTAGTCCCAGTCCCAAAATATAAAATACATATTTTATATATAATGGATATCTATTTTTATATTTTTTACTAGCAATCGTAATTATTTTTAGCTGATTTTTTTCAAAGAAATTGTTTTAAGTTTTTTATTATATTATTATATTAAACTATGAAAAATATTTTTTGAAGAGAGTTTTTTCACCAAGGTGTGATGGTAGGACGAAAGATATACTCTCAAAGGTAAGTTACTCTTAGGTTCTAGTTTTAGTCTATGGAGGATTAAGATGAAATTGTCCCTGGTGTTACAAGGGTTATGGAAGGCAATTGATGAGGATTTGCCCGAATAGATGAAAGAGACAGAGAAGGCAGACCTGAAGGAGAGAGCTTTGAGTTCGATCTTCATGAGCGTTACAGATAGCGTTCTTCGGAAAATTGCTGAAGAAACTTCTGCAGCAATGGCATGGAAGAAGTTGGAAGATTTGTATTCTAAAAAATCGCTGACAAACTGCCTCAACCTGGAAAAGAGGTTATACAATCTCCGTATGAACGAAGGTATACCTGTTAAAACTCACATAGATGAGTTTAATTCAATTACAATGGACCTGAAGAACGTGGATATCAAAATTGAGAGTGAGGATCAAGCCTTGCTAGTGTTATGTTCTTTACCACCATCTTATGATACTTTTGTCGATACATTGCTATATGGGAAAGACATTATTTTACTGGAAGATGTTAGTAATGCACTAAAATCTAAAAAAGTTAAAAAAGAGCTTTTCGGATAGTAGAATTGAGGATGAGGGTCTTGTGAGTGGAGGAAGAACACAACCAAATGACTTTAACAGGAAAAAGTCAATCGCCAGATCGAAACCTAGAGAAAGGAAGCAAAACTGTTATAAGTGCGGGGAACAAGGTCACTACAAGAAAGATTGTCCCAAGCTAAAAGAGAAAAAAGAGAAGCAGAAAATACATAATTCAGCAAATATTGTTGATACTGGCAACAATTTTGATGATAGTAATTATGTAGGGGAAGTATGTGCTGTGAGTTCTAGTCATGGGCAGAATTCTTGGGCTTTTGATTCTGGCTCTACTTTCCACATGTGTCCACACAAAAATTGGTTTGTAACTTACAAATAAATGAGTGAGACTGTCTACATGGAAAATGATAATCCATTACTAGTAGAGGGGATTGGTAACATCAAATTGAGAATGTTCGATGGAATTATCAGAAACATTGAGTGTTGGCATGTTCCTCGGATAAAGAGAAATTTGATCTCTTTCGACATTGGATGATCAAGGGTATAAGTTTCACTCTGTGTGTAAAGGCTCTATGGCACTCATGAAAGGTAAATTGCATTCTAAATCGTATCTTCTTCGGGCCAGTATAGTTGAAGGGGAAGTTGTTGTAGCTTCTGGGAAAAGTGAACAGAATCGGTATCAGTTGTGACACTTGCGACTTGGTCATATGAGTGAGAAGGGATTATCTTTGTTGAGTAAGCAGAATTTACTGAATGGGTACAAAAATCATGTTTTGAATTTTTATGAGCATTGTGTGTTTGTTAAATGGACAAGGGTAAAGTTCAGCAAGAAGGCCGAGCACAAGACCGGAGACAAGTTAGATTATATACATTCAGACTTATGGGGTCCAAACAGAGTTCCCTCCAAGAGTGGTGCCATGTATTTTATAACTTTGATTGATGATTACTCAAGGATGATATGGGTGTATTTTATGAAAATAAAAGAAGAGGCATTTCCGACATTTGTTAAATAGAAGACGTTGGTTGAGAGGCATACGAAAAAAAAAGTTAAGCGTCTTCGAACTGATAATAGGTTGGAATTTTATAATTTTGAGTTCGATAATTTCTGCAACAGAGAAGGCATAGTGAGACACCGCACTTGTGTCGGAACATCAAAACAAAATGGTATTGTAGAACGTATGAACAGAACACTTTGTGATAAGACACGAAGCATGCTTTCACACTCATGTGTTAGCAAGGATTTTTGGGCTGAAGCAATCAGTATAACTTGTTATTTGGTCAACAGATATCCATCCACATCTATTGAGTTCAAAACTCCTTTTGAGGTATGGTCTGGTTCGCCTGTTGATTATTCAAATTTAAGGATATTTGGTTGTCCTGCTTATGCTCATGTGAGGGATGGAAAACTTGAGCCGTAGGCAAATAAGTGCATATTTCTAGGGTATGCAACTGGAGTGAAAGGTTATAGGTTGTGGTGCACAGATAAAAAGGCTTCAGGTCTAATTATCAGTAGGGATGTAACATTTAATGAATCTGCCTCACTGGACAGTCAGATGGAGAAGGCAATAGCAAAAACAGATCGTGGTATCAGCGATGACGTCCGCAACACACCTCAATAAGAGATATGATACGGTCATATGCAATATAAATTATCCAACTATGAGTCGGGGTCGAATCTACATGGAGTTATAAGGGGTGTTAGGAGTATATGCTTGAAGAAAGCGAATGGACTAACTAAATTTGCACTTTCACAATAAGTTGTGATTTTTACTTCTACTATTAACAATTATGAGCTAAGGAAAATAAACTAGAAATGAACGATTATTTTTGATGTTTTCTAAATAGCTTAAAAGCCTAGGAATATGACCCTGACCTAGGTGTTTGCCTAATGGGTTAATACATTAATGTTTGTTTTGTTGATTCGGGTGTATTATAGCTCTCAACTCTACGTTAACCACTTAATACCTCTCGGTCAAAGAGTGATTTTGCCCAATTTGGCATTCTCAAGCTCAAATGGGAATCAAACAAAATAGTTGATATGAGCTCAAGTCGGATTTTTTACTATCTCTAGTTTGAACCCTTTAATTAGGCTAATCGAACTCTCAATTAACCCAATTCCTTGTTAACCAAGTTATCCTAGACTAGGTCCATCTTTCTCAAGTAGAGACTAAGTAAAAAAGGCATGAATCAATGTTTACAACCATTAATTCTAAAATTAAAGCATGAACTAGGCTAAATAATCAACACCCAATCATAAACAAGCATTAAATTAAATACCCATAAGGTTTACACACTAGGGTTGTGTCACAGTCATAGTAAAAATCTAGATAGTGGGTATTGAAGAAAATAAAAAAAAATGCAAATAAAACCCATAATCATAGATTAAATTGATGAAGTATAATGTTTGAACACTAAAATAATCAAAAACTTCCTAAAATGGCTAAAGGTAACGGCTACAACAGCTTTCTACTTCGAAACTTGACCTAAAATACTAAAACTCGTCTATTTAAAGTTGGCCAGAATTCGCTGACAAAAAAGCCCCTCGAGAGGTTCTGCGGCCTCGCAATTCCATGTGCGGTCCGCAAATTTCTTCAGCTAGCAGGAGAGTGGGTTTTGCAGTCGTACATTTCTGGATTGCGGTTGCGAAGCAACTTCTGCGGCCTCACAATTCTTGTGCGGTCCGCACTTCAGCAAGGCGTCGGGACTTGGTCTTTTTGTATATTCTCTTAACTTTGAATTTTTGTCAGTGAAAGCCCTATTCTGCGGCCGCACAATTCATGTACGGTCCGCACATTGGTCAAAATCCTGTTGGATTTTGTTGCTTGGTTTGCGGCCGCAGATGGAATTCTGCAGTCCGCAATTTCTTCTGCGGCCGCATAAATCCTTTTGCGGACCGCACTTCTTTGCCTTTGCGCCCTTTAATGCCTTGTGCTTCGGAACACTCCTTTTTGAGTAGAATTTTATCATGGTAGACCAAACTTCCAACATTTCTGTAATTTGCACAATTTTATTAGTTTCGGGAACACAAATTAATACTTTCGGACTAAAACCGAAGCAAAAAGGTGCTAATAAACTGTCAAAATCCCCACTTATCAGCTCCCCCAAACTTAAGTGTTTGCTTGTGCTCAAGCGAATAAATTAGTTCCCACCTCTTAAAGTTAAGGGTCATTTCAGCGAGCCAAAGGTGAGCCATTCACACATCAGTTGGGATCAACAATTACTCACACTACTCATGCATTATCAACAAGGTGACAAGTCAAATATTAATGCACATATAGTTCTAATGTGATATTTGAGCTTCAAGAATTGACTTTACTCATCAAGGACTCTTGTTCTATCATGTAGGTCATGGTGGACTCCAAACTCTTCCTCCTCCATTTGCCAAGCTCACTTAAGAAGTTAGCACTCAATCTGAAGATTCATGAAAGGTTCACTCATATCTCACGAGAGAATGTCACAAGTACGGCTTCAAGTACCATAGGTTTGCCCCTCATGTAGATCGCCACTAATGTAAGTTTACACGGTTTGAAATCAAGTAGGGCTTCTTTCGGGATGTAATTAAGGCTTTTTGGTTAGGGTAGGATACCGTATGGGTAAGTGGTTACACCTTTCCTTAAGCACTCCATCTTTTATTTCTCGGCTCACAACTGCCAATTCTTAAAGGCACTTTCTTTTCATTGGGGACTAGAGAGACTTAACATCACTCTTTCTTGATCATTTCATTTTGTTTCTCCCTCTTTGATTTCTCAATGTTTGGGATCATTACCTCTTTTTGAATCCATCAACCCTTCCACTTATTCACGTTTTGTATTTTTATTTTTGTTCTTTTATTTTCTTGCCTTCTCTTTTTATAGAGATCATTTCTTTTCTCTTTTTGTGCCTTGATACCTTTTTTCAAATTCCTCATCTCTCCCCCAAACTTACTTTTTAAGCTATTTATTTCACAAGAGTGTTAAGGAAAATCCGGATGCCAAGAGAAGGTCACGACAAAGCGGGTAACGGCTTATCACATGGTTATCAAATGAGAAAGGCTAGAGGAGAACGCTCAAACGGGGCAATGAGAGCCTACAATCACTTCTCAAACCAAGAAAAACTTAGGATTTCGCCTTGAAACACATTTGGGGCAAGTTCTAGACCCGTCACACAGATACATGGACTAGCAATAATTCATCTCACTCCTAAAGCAACTAGATTGTAAAAAAAGATAAAGTTGAGGGCCCACAACGATCACATTCAAGTTTAAAGATCATTATGGTCCAAT